TATTAAACCCATTGACTTACAATTATATGGACGTCGGGTCCGCGCTAAAAAGTGTCCGCACTTGTAAGGCGCTAAAATCGTATACAGAGCGCGACACTCCGCTTTAGTCTTCATTTGTTCTACGGACAGCGCGATACTGCGATGACATAACAATTTAAATTTCGAATAGGTTGACTTCGGACATTTTTTTCGTGGTTTTTGTATTAGACCCGTCGTCCATTTATTTGTAAGTCAATGATTAAACCTGATTTGTAATAGTTCAACTGTTCTTTCATCTACCATTTTGCTCTCAAAGCTCAAGTCAGGATTGCACTGGCAACACAAGCACTGGAAATACGACCCTAATGGCAGGGACTTGAGTATGATTTCTAGTGCTTTGAATCATACTCAAGTCCTGACTTAAGCATTGAGTAGAGTTCTAGAATACGACTCTTAGGCTCCATCGCTTGCTCAGGTTTCAATACATGAAGCACTCGCGTCAATCAACAACTTTCCAAGCTTGCATAACAATGAACTATTTCATGTTATGTAATTAATGTGTGGAAATAAATGGTTTAAATTGTATTAACGATATGTAAGTGAACATGAGTTTTTTAAATGCTTAATAGAAGGTTAAATTAATACACGTATCCGTCATCGTAGTTTAGTAACGTGTAATAAAGAGTTCTCTTTATTTATGGATTTATTATCCAACGTATCTACAGTATCTCAGCTGCGCACAAATCTTGTATAAGATATTTGCACACCTATCTATTATCCAGACGACCTCGAAAAAGATTACTCGAATGAATGAAGGTTCCACAGTCGAGACGGAGATGTAACACGTCTGTACAGTACCAGCACGCTATGACGTCAGTTTTGACAGATTGCAATAGTGAGGTCAAATTTCAATTCATTATCGAAAAACATATAATCAAATGCGAATCGCATCAATAAGTTCGTAGATTTATAACTAGTATTGCAATGGGTAACTGATCAAAGTTTTAATGATACTAAAATAAAAATGTTTACCTAATACATAGTCAATTCGAAACTGCTTTGTTTTTGTAAAGTATTTGCCTTGTTTGCCTATTTGACAAACAACAAACACCAAACTCGCGTTACTGCGCGTTGGTCAGTTTCTCGATGCACGTGAAAGGAGCCAAATAAGCAAATACGCAAGTAAACGCTACATATGACCATATTAATCATTTTAACTCCTTATTTGGTTCCATGTGTAAACTGTCATATTTGTCAGTGTTTGCATGTTTATTTGAACGTCAAATATTTTTCCACGTACGTCATACACCCAATAGCGAACACAAGTAGTCATATGAAGTGCTGCCATCAGAGTTCGTTCAGAAAAGTATTGCCATCTTACTTATTTGTCGCGAAGCAGTAGTGTGAACTTTTCGACGTTCCCATTTTGAAGGGTATGGGTGCTGGTGAAATCACAGGTGTCGCGAATTATGCCGCGATTTAATATTAGTTTTGTAATATCAAACATTAATATATTTAGTCTGTATGATACCTAAGAGTTGGGAACTATCACGGCAGTTCAGGCATCTCAAATTTTGAAGGTGAGATATCAGGCGTGCACTGGTTGATCGGCGCTACAGTTGGTAAGTTTACACAACGTTTGTTACCAACTTTTTTTTCAACTTGTTTTTTTAATTGATAGTTAAAACAGAAGAACCGATAGTGAACTATGCCCAAATCACATAATTATGTCAATCCGTAACGTAGGCTTCGTCAGGAAGACACAAATATAAATCAGCAACACGCTTCGTTACATAAAAATTAATAATGCAATTCGCCAGACTTAACTATTTTTATCCAAGTAGTACAGTGAAACAGAACCGCTCTGAATCTTACCTGGTTCAAACGTCCCCATAATACTGGCAGCATTACCGCGCTGAATGGGTAACGATATTTGTTGCACATAGTAAAATCCAGAGCGTGGAACACAGCCTCTATCTCTAAGCCGACGACCCATCCCCCTGATGAATTTTTTGGCCTTCGCACCCCAAGTCCCTGCAGTCTCCACTGCAATTGGTACAAAATCGTATATCCGTTCCCATGTACTGTACTTGGCATGTTTCAATTTTGCCGCATACTCTGCAGTCGACCCGACACATCTGGTGGGGTGACTCAGGTGGGACGGTGCAAACTTACTGACACACGTAGCGCCCCAAGCACCGACCCTTCTGCTATGGAACCATTGCAAGGCGGTCAGGTCTCCAGGATGCGATTTCGTGCGGCAAAGCGTCTCACTACCACGGTGCGGGTGATCATTCCGTTGACGATCGTCAACGGCACTACACGTATTTTTTAACCTAGGCTGCGACAGCGATCTTTAAAAGAGTGTTGCACTGCTGTTATTTATAAGCGAATATAGGAAAAAAACACAAAGAAGATTAACATCGGGAATGCGCGATGCGGAGCAATTCGCAAATTCTTGCGATGCGTCGTGCGAGCTCGTAGATTTCTGCGATGGATCGTGCGAGCTCGTAGATTTCTGCGATGCGACGTCGCAGCGCACTTTTGTGTTTCGACCTTTAGGTGGCATGAAGCGGTGGCAGAGGAAGGAAGGGCTGTAGGGGTGAATGTGGAGGCCCATCATAGGGATCAGACGATTCCACTAGTTCAGATCCAGCAAAACGATATGAGGTCAAGATTGAAGATTAGGACAATTACAGTAGTCCTATGAAGTAGAATGAAGTTAGAAGACGTATACGCTAAGAAAGATACTCTATTTACAGGCTGTTGTGATAGAAAGAATGTCGCATATCATCGAGGATAAGGCAAATAGCTGCATTGGTAAAAGCCGCGTATCTGCAATAAACCAACTTTTACAGGAGATAAATTTAACGTTATTGCAATGGCTACCTACGACTTTCATTTTTGTACAGTAAGCATTTATGTTTTCTACGGACTCATAACAATAGATTCCCGTGAATCACGCTAATTTGGTTTTTCCGAATCGAAATGGAAACTCTTAATCCAATGCTAGTTACTCGTAATTGCACTATCCCGAGGAGTTGTAATTTACATTATGATAGAACCTTAGTCGTGGCGACTACAGGCACATGGGACTTGTCAACTTATAATATGTCTTAAAGTGACAGACGCAGTTCCAATCAAAGGCAAAATAGTTGATACTAGGCCCCCATCGAGTGATAAAACAATTTAATATTACCTATAAGGTGTTAAAGTGGGCTGTCAAGCACCTAATATCTACTTAAAATTACGTACACATATTGCAATGATTCTGATCACGGAAATACTATATCAGATAATTACTACGAGTATGTAGGTACTTTAAAATTATCAATAGGTATGAAATGATATCCAGTAGTTACGAAGTTATAAGGTGCTCAAGGTTTACCACGGTAAAAATCTCAGCCGTGACCATGGGATCTGTAAAGGCCCCGAAACATGAGTTTGTTTGAAAAATCAAATAGATATCGACAGTGGAAATTTGAAATGTCGTAAGGAATACTTTGTCATAATGGAAAATGTCCCTTATTATAAAATGTCGACCAATAAATCAGTAAACCAGTTACCCTTATATCGACAGTGAATATTTGAAATATCCTAAGAGACTCATGTCATTTTTCCCTTATAACAAAATGTTCCTTCCAATTACGTGATTTACGTGATTTACATCCGAAAAAATAGTTTCATTTCCTACGTATAACAATCGCGAAAACCTATGAAATCGATAAAGTTTACCTTCATCGTATTATTTGCCGTAATTTCTTGAAATAACTGCATTAAAAATTCCGTGTCATAATTTTTCTAAGGTAAAAATACTTTTTTTTTATACCAAAAAGGGACGAACAAGTCATTGCTTGCATGCTTGGTGGTAAGCGGCACTCTCATCTCGCGCTTCGCTCAGATATTCAAATCGCAAAGATCTGAGAAGCACTGCCACTGCGCCCGTCATCCTGAGACATAACTTGACAAATGTGCCCGTAATTTCACCAGCACCCTTACCCTTCCAAACTGGAACGCAGTAGATAGCACGGCCCTATCAATTTCTACCGCAATCAGCTATATTTCGGATTGCAATGTATGAACACAGCGCAATGACCAACACAGGAGGTTTAACATCTCATATCCCACGG